ACACGGTAAGGAGTTGGTTACGCTCGTCACATACGTTTATTTAGCCGCTCTGCTACTGGCAAAATAGGTCATTGTCCTTGGATGACCTTGCATGTCCTCAGTGACCCATGGTGACTATTCAAGTCTTAGGTGGTCTATCTGCTCGCGCTCCCCTCAGTCAGACCACGGCCATTCAGACCAGACACGAGCGCTGCAAGATGGCAACTGTCTTAATACGCGAGTTGAGCAGGCGGCGCCGACCCCGGCGGGCGGCGCCCAGGCGGTACACCGTCGGTCGGGGCAGCGGCGTACCGAGGTACAGCAGTACTGGCGACGCGAGCAGGGGTGGACTCAGGTGCACGCCAGTAACATCACGTACAGTGACCTCATTATGTATAAGAATGATACCACATGTTAGTGAAGTTTTGGAATTCTGCGTCCAAAATTACCTAAAAAACCTGCCTATTTTGAGTTAAGCACGTGTTTTGCAGAAGGTACCCGTATAATTTGGCCATGTCCTGGGTCAAGGCCATGTAATCTATGGTCATATGATGCTTGTGCATGCAATTCATCACTCCTTTCCTCGTGTTGGAACACCAAAACTACACAAATACAGATAAGCTTGCCTTATTTATGAACAATTAGCGAACAGTGAGCTGACTACAGGTCACTCACCTCGCCTTTTCGGAAAAATCCGAAATATACAAACTGTAAGCACTATTATGTGCTATTACTTTACCAAGTTGTGGTAATCACAAATGACCCGCACACAAAATTATGTACTGTCAAAGTTGTTTTAGAAACTTGACCTCTTCGACCTGACCTAAGTTCTAGGTGAAAAGACACTGATGTTGTGTTGAGCTTCGAGTGTTTCTTTTTGACCGGGGCTCGAAAAACCGTAGGGGAAGTCGACTCCCCCGGCCAGGATTAAAATGTGTCCGTTCGTGCTCCGTCTAATGGCATCATGCCCCGTCCATCCCCGTCTGATCTCATCCTGTTTCGTCCGGTCCCGTGCTGCCTTTTCTGGTTCAGTTCGGTCCCGCCTGGCCTCATCTGGTCTCGTCCGGTTCCATTCGATACGATCCCATTTCGTCTGTTCTCGCCCGGTCCCCTGTGATGTGATCTGGTCCCGTACAGCTTCGCCCCGCTCCCGTTCCGTTCCATCCAGTCGCATCCAGTCTCATCCAGTCCCAACTGCCTCTCCCCGTAACCACAGCTTAATCCACTCTCCATTCCAGATGCCAAGTCCTGATGACTTTCCTGTCCTAACACGCGCCCAGGTGGTCGGTTGGATGCCCTTCGCTCTGGTGGGGTGGGGGTGGGGGGGGGGGGGGGTGGGTGGAGTGGGAGGTCAATTTGACCCGCTAAGATCTCAGGATTAACAGAGCTAGAGACGCAAAGTTCACAGGGTGTGTTGACCCTGTACGTGAACTCACTCAGTTCAAAATTTGAGGTTCCTAGGTCATGGCCTTCGGGTCAAATAAGGTCAAACAAGGTCAGATTCTAGGTTGGTCTCCAAATGGCCCTTAGAACCTAGATAACTGTTCTAAGGAAAAGGCCACATGCTCATCTAAGGTCAGTGACCTTGTTTGATCTTTGAAGGTCATGGCGACCAAAATCATACAAGACTGCTTTGAGTTTTGCATTTTGGATAAGCAACAAAGATTCCGCCAGGCAGTATGTTCCTAAAAACAACATATTGACCCGGGTCATCCTAGGTCAGGGACCTATTCCGGCCTTTAAGAAGTCTATGGAAGGTGTGTAATGCGAAGGTGGTACCTGTTACCGATAAATTCGAAATGAACACCAGGAAACTGCCCCATACAGCAAGGCCTAGAGTAATAAAACAGGTTGGTTTCGACCTTGGTCTGACCTTCATACCTGGCCCTAGGTCAGTGTTATTTGTTCATTCAATTGTTGTGTTGCCTAAGAAAGTATCTCAGAGATGTATGGCTTCGTGTAACACTCCGTTTTGGATCAGATTGAATGATTCCCTGGAAATTGTCTTCACTGAAACTATGGTCTGATTTTGACCTGCCATAGGGCAGTGGCCTTACAAGGCACGTCGAAATCTTTGATGGCAGACGATCCGCCATTAAATTGCCTACAGCTACTGCAAAATTTGGCGTGGCTGCGCCGCGCTGTTCGGAAACCGTTCCGGAAAAAACCTTTGGGGGCAAGTTGACTCCCACCCGAGCGCGTGTTAAATCGTTATAACTTCCGGTGTTTTTACATATTCGAGTTGACTTTAGCCCTGTCGATTTTCTGTCTTTCCACTTATTGCGTTTCCTCTCTTTCCCTGTGCTTATTATCCTTGTAAAATTTTTGTCTTCCGATTCTTCTGGTATTGGAGTTTTAACCCTGCGACTCTTATCCCTTTCGACTTTTTGTCCTTTGGCTCTTTCCGCTTGAACTTTTATCTGTGTCGAATTTTATCCCTTCGGCATTTCGTCCGTCGACTCTTCCCGGACCTGACTTTTATCTGCCATCAACTTTTGTCTCTTTCGACTTTTTCTGTCTAACTTTCCATCTGACTTTCTATTCTACTTTTTTTGTCGGGAAGCTGACTCCACATGCCGATATTTTGTAGGAACTGAAAAGGATTTCGTTACTCGGTTTGAAAACAAAGTTCTCCGAGCGTGCCTAAAACAGTGTTAATTTATATTTCGAACATGTGAGATACACTGTCACGCCCCGTCTGCCCCACCCGCAAGCCTGCAGTTGAAACCTCTCCGTTATGGCGGGTGAGAGGAATGAAGTCAATTAGGAAATGAGCTGATTACTGCCCGATGCCAGGGTACATGACCAAAGGATGGACTGGTGAATGCAAAACGTATCGCTGGTAGATTGGGGACCAAGTTGCAATCGTGCTGGTTAACACAGTTTCACTGTGTGTGAGATTTCGGAATGCTCGAATAGTAACGTCGTAAGGCTACATGACAAGCCTTCGTAAGATTTGTAAGATGTTATTGTGTTGACAGGTATCTGTCGGAACTGACGCTACATGGAAGAAGGGCGTGAGACTCATGCAGTAAGAAAAACCAACATACCGTCAATTATCGGTGTAGAAAATAAAAAGCCACTTCACAAATGGTCAAACCAAGGGCTTATATGTTCACCTGTGTGGGTGAGGACAAGGAGGCCTTGCTCACTGCTCAGCCACGTTTCATGAAAGTCTGACATTAATGCCACAGCAACCCCTGCGAAGAATCGATGAAGAGGGAAGTTTCGAGGTCTTTTTTGAATATGTCTACGCAATTCACGATGAAAGTGATTTGGACCATAAAATACGGCAGCTTTTAACGACAACCATCGACACCGCATCGAAGTCACCCTCTCTTGGAATGTTTAGGAACACTCGTACCTCTACTGCCTTGAACACCTTTGCTTATGTCATTACGCAAACACGAATGGGTCAAATAGTCACGACCTTTTTGGGACCTTCAGACGACCCTCAAAGCATAAACAGATGTTGCACCCATGGGACCAAATGGCACTCTCAGAGACTCAGCTCAAAATGCTATGAGAGCTGAAAGACCTTGCGGCGTGTTGTACTATGTGAAATTCCATCTTCTAATATTGATTAGAAGATGGAATTTGAATGGCTTATGACGACATAAGAAAGACTTCATTCAAGTTGTCATTGCTTCCGGAATGTGTCCTTATAGAAGTAAGCTCAATTTTCAGAGGTGAAAGGAGGAATTCGCAGTGGGGAGAGGGAGCTCAAATAAAAATTACTGCTGAAAACCGAGGTAAGCGCGCCACAGACACGCAACATATTTTACGGGCGCAAAAAATCATCGCGCATTTTCGAGTTGCTTAATTTTGCTTTTCTACATGAAATTCGTATTTCCACATGTATTCTCGCACACCAAACACATGCAGCAAACTTGGCAGGGGTAGGGGGCACGTGCCCTAAAGGCCAGTGCGCGCGTGCCTGTCATTTTCCGAAAATTTGTCACGAAAACGGATGACTGCCGATACAACGGCTTTGGTCTCGCGTTGGCGCTGTTGGCGCTGACAGCCAGAAACGAACTTGATGAGTGGAAGTCCAGGTGACTGAATGACACACCGAACCACCGGCGGATCTTCCCTACCCCACACAGTTGCATTATTTACGGATGCAGCTGTCACGCGCCGAGGCGGTCTTTTGTGTGTGCACCACGGTATGCTTGCCGTCCGTTGAACATACCGCGAACTTGGGATAGCGTTGCACCGGGGTGAAAATACAACGGCCTTAAGGAAGGGTGGCCTTGGAGTCTTAGTGTGTCTGCGCTAAAGGGTGTGTTTCACGTTTGTGTGGGATCTTGAATTGCAATAGCCATCTTGTGGATCATTCGGTGCAGTTCACAGTCCTGTCCTTCTTGACCCCTAAATCCCTTTAGTTTCTGAGCTACGCGTACGCGAATATGACTATTTCGTGCAGGAATATTTCAAGGTCGCTTAGGCATCCATGACGCCAAAATAACGCCATTCAAATCTCGTCTTTTCACTAGTCATGGGGCAATCAAGGCCAGTAAAATATAACTGTCGAGTCGTTCATGTCTGGCATTTGTGAACACGATTTCCAGACACAACGACCGTCGATTGGCTCTCAACCAATGTTGTGAAAGATGCGCTAACGTAATCAAACCATGGCGTATTGTGGGGCGTATTTACTGAATAGAGAAATCGTGTTGTCTAGAGCAGTGTTTTCCACTAAAAAGTATACCAACACTTATAAGTGGACCTAATTCATCCTATCTGATGCGTGCTTCAGTATCTTCAAATATGGAACACTTTCTTGAACCGCTGTGCGTCTGGCAAACCAGAGATACGGGGGCTCGATCCCCCGCGATGACTGCGATCATGCCAGGATTAGAGGCAGGCGACGCCATATAGCCTCAACAGCTGAGTGTGTCGTGAAGCCCAATGGCTCACACACGGCCCCGGGGCCTGTTTTGATGTGACGCACATTTAGGATCAATGAAGTTCATTCGTCTGTTTCGGATCATGTCTTAACTCTTCTGGTCTGTCCGCAGTGTTCAAGATGCGTGTCATCCTCTTGGCAGCCCTCGCGGCGGTGGCCGCGTGCACGTCTGTCGACGGTAAGGCGCGGCAACATGCATTGCCCATCCTCTTGCCGTAACCTGACAAGCGTTCCTTAGCACGTACGATTTAGTTTCCGTTATGTAAAGCTGCTAACAAACCCGGCGTGGTTAGCCAGCTATTTCACTGGCTAGTCAGATGTCTGACGTTTGAGCCCGCGACAGCTACGCTTTTTACACATTAACACAATTCGTCACAATGATTATTACTTTTTGTTGTTGCGTTGTTTGCCGTTTTTGTGGCCTGGCCTTATAAGGCAGATGCCTATGTAGTTGTGGCAGCACCAATAACTGTGCCGGCTATAAACCCGATGACGTCATTTCGAGAAGACAAGCGGCGTTAGACGCACGGTGAATCTATTGAGAGCATCTGTCTCAGCCTGGAGACGCGCTGCATTGCAGCATGCCACCCTGAGGACCGCACGCATCTGCCAACAGATGGCAGTCCGCAGTACATGGCAGTGTGTTACTATGGAACCTGGGCGGTCTACCGGCCCGGCCTGGGCAAGTTCGACGTGGAGGACGTGGACCCGAACCTGTGCACCCACCTGATCTACGGCTTCGCCGGTCTGGACCCCTCGAAGTACACGATCAAGTCTCTCGACCCTTGGAACGACCTGTACGATAACTACGGCAAAGGTCAGCCCCGCTGCGTTACGCACGGCGCTGTGGTAGCAGGGGGTCCGCACGGCCTTGGCTGGCGGACTGCTTATCGGAATCGCACCTCTATAACCAACGAGTCACTCGTCCTTTTTGTTCGTCCAATACCAGCCAACTGAAGGGAGACAGGACATTGTCTTGCAGTGCATGCAACAGAACACTTGACGGGGCGCATAGCAAACAAAACAACTAGGTCATCTTTCGCTGTTACGTGCAGGTTGACGTCCCAGCACCAACTGTACTGCATCACGTGACCGGCCTCGGTCGCGACACCGAGCTCCCAACGACCGCTGGTTACGTGACACGGCCGCGGCCCCGATCGCTGGCGCTCCGATCATCCCCTACCCCGCAAGGTTCTGTCACGGAGGGTGCCATCGTACTTGTGACACCACTTATGATGATCGGTAATCCGCGCCATGATGCGATCAATGTTACTTTTTGCGCAGCAGACTGAGCTTCGTCTTGCTGTGCCGTGATAAAAGCAACCCAAAATGTGTTGGCGGGTCAACACAGGCTCATTCCGTGGTGCATGCATTCATTGATTACAATTCACCTTGACTAGGTCGGGCTGGATCACTCTGGATATATACACATACATATATATATATATATATATATATATATATATATATATATGTGTGTGTGTGTGTGTGTGTGTGTGTGTGTGTGTGTGTGTGTGTGTGTGTGTGTGTGTGTGTGTGTGTGTGTGTGTGTGTGTGTGTGTGTTTGTGTGTTTATGTATGTATGTATGTATGTATGTATGTATATGTATACACATGTATATATGTTCATATGTGTATATATGTATATCCAGAGTGATATTCAACTGGTTAAAAATGCGATCTATTGGCATGCATCACATCACGTCATAAGACAACGGGCACTTTGGCCTCATGGTCTGGGATGGTCATGCCTGATCTTAAGTCAGTAAAAGCTTGGCGCATCCGCTTGCCATGAATTCTGAACGCTGGCGCAAAGGAAGCGCATGAAAAGGATCGACTTCAAAACTGGCTAGCCCCCCCCTCCTTTCCAGACATTCCTTCATTTGTGCTACTCGCTGTCGGATCCTCAAATTTCCTGCCATGCGGTATAACTGTGCATTATCGGAACCAATTAAATATATTTCCTGTCTTGTCCTGCTACACCACGAGATCCTCTAGGTCACTAAAGCCTATTTCCTTGATAAAAGTGCTATGTCTGCCGACTGCCATTTGAATCAGCGCAGCCACTTGGTAGGATAATACAACGGGGATGTGAACGAAAAGTCGTGAGTGTTAGGATTTCCCAGCAGGGGTCTGGAGCCGGCGGTGATGTCGGTAAGCATTGCCTGACGTCGGGCCCACGGCATCATGCAGTCTGCGTCTTGCCAATGTTATCACGGCATCAAATACCGTGCGCTGCGCGGATTATCATGTCCATGTCTGTCCTGACCTTCTGATTGCCAGTGGTGTTATGCCTGTCCAAGTGCTTCGCCGCCCAGCTCGTAATGTTCCATCACGATAGTCTTCCGGGAGGGCATTGATTTGCTCTCGATCTGCGATGCATTAAGAATTTCCTATGCCAACATCCTTATAGCGTCACTCAATAAAGGTCTCCCTATGCTCGCTGGCACAGCTAACCCGTCCTTGAGTTATGATTGTAATATTTGGCAAATCAAAATGTCTTGTTGGGCGTCACCAGTATGCTACATAGCTCCCAGTCTGCTTCGTATACGTATCGTTTGCGATCTACACACAATGGGGTTCCTCCCACACGCGTTTTCCGTGATTTACAGGTGCTTTCATTCGGTTTACAAACCTGAAGCTGCGCAACCCGGCCCTCAAGACCATCCTGGCTATTGGTGGATGGAACGAGGGTTCTACCAAGTACTCCAAGGTATGTCACCAGAGCTTGACTAGAGCTGGAATATTTCAAAACCGTCGCCCGCATGCGGCCCTGTATTCGCGGCACCTGAGTCGAATTCGTGGCAGAGTGGTCGCCACCTGGCGGGCAGTCCGCGGTTCGAAGTCTGGCCACACCCGTAGCTCTCCACGCGCAGCTCCGTTTGGCGGCTAAATATGCCTGGCTGTCGGGCTGCACCACGACCCATAACACTTGTTTAAAATCACAAAAAACCCCTCGACGATATGCATCCGTTGTTGGGAGGGCACCAGAAGCCCAACTTGCCTGACTTTACAAAGTCGGCTTTGCGGCTCCGAGCCAGGTGGAGTGTCCTCGTCGGATCTTCTAGCTCGAGGCCCAGGTGACGTCAGTGGAATGTGATATAGCCTTGAGGATATAGCCTATAACAGGTGTGACTTTTCTTCATGAAACATACGTCTGCTTCCCAATGTTTGTTTCTAGCTCTCACTACACCTCATGAAAACGGGTCCTGGCTCCGGCTGCTTCTTTAATAATGACCAGCCCCTGGTTCTGGAATGCAGTTAGGTTGTTCTGCAAACACGGGACCATGGTTCCTAGTCTTCAATGATATATACTTTTACTGGGGAGCCATAATCGTCAATTTTCTGGGCGGAGTGCAACATCCTGCAACCATGGCCTAACGGCTGGTACCGAAGGATGACTTGACGAAATATGCTTGGTCAGTGGCTTCATCCTCGAAGTGGTCGGAGCATCTAAGGCCCTTATGCACATTAAAAAGGTTTTCCCTCACAGCGAGACTTCCATGCTTCCAGCACAATCTTACTTATCGTTGAGAATCAAGGAAAACGTTCTGATTCATGTTTGTGCGAATCCTTGCGTGTGGTAGTAACACACGGCATCACTATGGACACAAACGTCGATTATCGGATCCACTGACGTAAACTGACGTAATCATCGAGGTCTCTGGAAACATTCACCTTACAATGCTAGCAAATGAAGCACAACTTGTCAAAAATGCTTCTCTTGGGTATATTTTATTCAGGTAAACCGCGTGATAACCAGGGTAACAGTCACGTTGGTTGGATGGGACAATGACGCTCTCCTCTTATTTAAGTCGCCTTCCATTTCTGGGAGTCGCGATGCATTGTATGACATGGCCTGGGCTGACCTACAGTCATTATATCGACAGTAGTAAATTCCGGTTTGTTAGAATATCTAACATTTGGGTTCTCCGCGCCGAATAATTGAGCCTGTAGAACACAGCTGTAAAACGTTATTGTTTCTACTGTCGCAAAAATGCATTCATCGCAACGGCTAGTTATGTTTGGCAACCGAGTTTACTGATCGACTCCGCTGTGCACTACGGCCAGTTTCGCGGGCCACGGCAAATAGTGGAGAAGCCTATAGCGATGCCTATCGGCACCTACCTGTTTTAAAATTCTCCGACAATGTGTGACCTTTTTGTTTGTACGATGCTGGTCAAAATGGTATAATTTGGTGGATCGTAAATATTAATGCATTTGTAGGAGCCAAAATGTGCAGCATTTGAGTATGACTGACTTGGATTGAACGCTGCTGATCTAAGACATCACCCGTAAATATAAGAACGGCCGACATCATTGACTTCAAAATTGATACTTTATGAAACAAGCAAGTAGCACGATCACGTTACCAACAAGTTATTGTGTTGTCGATTTGGCTCGAAACATGGCATCACCTCCAAAAATAGGTTATAAGTTTTTAAAAAGTGCTTAGATATTTCAGAAGCGGAAAAATATAATAAAATTAGGTAACTGAAACACATCAGCTCGAAATTCTTATTGGTCACCACTTTACTCTACAACACAAGGACAGGCAGCTGCCCTTTTCTGGAGATGGCTAAGTGACTTCGTCAAAGCGTCAATTTCAGGACCCAAATCCCTAGCCGTCGTTGCGCAAGTAACACCTGTACGTTGTCGTTAGTGCAGTTGGGAAGTTTTGTTCGAAATAAACATGATTCGGAAGGTCATCCACTTCGTTTAGCAACGCTATGGTATACATAATAAGTGGTGGCGCTGCATTGTACTGGCGGCATTTACGGAAGCAGGAACCAGACATATTACCGTTAGTGTATAAATGTAGATATATGCTTCCACTTTTCTCCACATTGCGTATCAATCTATTTCTATATGGCTCGCATATACTCTCATTTCATATTCATTTTGGGCTATGGATTTTACTCGGTGCACCATCGGAGAAGTCGAGAACGATAAGTCAGAGGACCCATATATGAGGTTGTGTTGGTTTTAACATGATTGTAAGCCTTGTATTATTTTCACGTCCGACTTTTCATGCCGTTTTGGGACATCTCACGACTTGCGCGGCATAACCGGTTATTAGCGTCCCAGCTTCCCACGGCGCCGCGGCGGGGACGGCAAACCAGCGCCCTTCCAGGTCGGCCCGAGCCACCAACCCGGCGCACGGTTCTGCGCGACTGCTTTCAGCGGCTGGACTACGACCTTCATTAACTGACTAACGTTATCAACGGTCTTCGTTCAGATGGCGGGGAGCCCGTCCTTGCGCCAGAAGTTTGTCCAGAGCTGTGTGGAATTCTTGCACAAGTACAACTTCGACGGCCTGGACATGGACTGGGAGTACCCTGCGGAAAGGGGAGGCAATCCCATCGACAAGGTACGGCAAGAGGAATCTGATGTGTCCCATGCCCTGGTGTCGTTTTTCAGGTAGTATAATTCCTGTGGCAATGCACGCACGCCACGTAGAAATGTGTAGCTTAAAAATGCGTGCAATTGTTCGGGCGCATCCGCTGCACTGACAAAAGCGGCCACAACGCGTCGATTTGCTGATATTTATCAGTAACGTTTGATACACATCAGTATTCTTTTCCCCTGCTGCAGGACGACTACATAGCACTGATCAAGGAACTGAAGGCAGCGTTCCAACCGGAGGGCCTAATCCTCACAGCCGCCGTAGGGGCGGGCAAGCCCACGATAGACGATGCGTACCACATTAAAGAGATGGGAATGTAAGTATGTCATCCGCACACAAATTTGGGCTTGTCTGCTCCGGCTTTCTTGACGAATCCGGGGTCTAAAACTAGATTGCAAGTGACCCGAACGCCGGTGACCGTCTCACCATCCGAACACCAGGCCACCAGGACATCGTCCAGCCGGCCGTTTGCACAGCACGGATAAGCTCCTCAATCGCTCCTGTTGTTACACCAGCGTCTCAGGTCTGTCACTCAGTCGCTGTCCACAGGAGTGTGGGGTCAGTGGCGAGGGTAGCATCAGCTCTTGCGCTGATTAACCGCCGGCACCGTGGCCGGCTTTCGACGGGAGAAAACTAAGCAAGGCTGGAGAAGGCCGGAGGGGCGAGCAGGGCTATAGCCAAGTTGAAAAGAGTACCGTACTGCCATTGGCTCTGTCCAGTTGTAACGAACATCTAGGTCCCTTGGGGCACAACTCGTTTTAAAGTGACGTGGTTATCCACTGTTGTCATACAGAGGTCAAGTCTTCGTGAAGCTGAAACTCAACGACACCAGTATACAGTCATTCTCTTCGCCATCCGCATTCTTGCACACCCACTACCCGTCTGTACGTCGCTAATTACAATAACAAAACATTGGTGTAAGTGAACGCTTTGTCCTCGAACACTGTAGAATATAACATAGTGCAATGCGTTCATCGAATTGCCTCTTGAAAGCTCCGCTGTCTGCAGTCAAAACATGATGTTCGACTGACGTCAAAGATTGCCGCCATTTCGGAATGCGGAATGCGGAATGCGGAATGCGGGCTACATGTACATCAGGCCAGCTGTAAGCACCAGGTGGACCGCTATTCCATCACAACTCCGCAAACGTCCGTCCCCGATTATCCGCGCGACAGGTACCTGGACATCGTCAACGTCATGACGTACGACTACCACGGCTCGTGGAGCCCCTTCACCGGACACGTGGCGCCTCTGTACCTCTCGCCCCTGGACATTGAGCACGGCGATGGATGCCAGTACTTCAGCGTGGTGAGTTCAATCTTCGGCTCAATGAATGCGCCGGTCAGCGTGTGGAGCGCGCACGTCAGCCGCTGACGTCACACGCCGCCGGTGTGTTCACACGTCAGCCGCTGACGTCACACGTCGCTGATGTGTTCACACGTCACCCGTTGACGTCGCACGCCGCTGGTATGTTCACATGTCAGCCGCTGACGCCACACGCCGCTAGTGCGTTCACGCGTCAGCCGTCTTGCCGCACGTTCTGCTAGCTGTCGCCGTGCGCTGTGCGACTGGCTCTCGCTGTGCGCCAGCGCGCTGTGGGAAGCTGATGTGGAGCTGTGCACTCAGGGCGGAATGCCAGTCGACCGATCAAAGGACGCCAAAGAGTGAATCTGTAAGATCATACTGCCACTGGCGAGTAGACGCTTCCGAGGCTTTTATTTCTTCTGCGTGCGGGACATGCAAACACAAGCCAAGCACAGATGCTGGTCTGGAAGCCGCCTTCGTCTTTGCGTCATGGTGTAGTGCCTCCGCCTAGATCGTAGGTTCCGGTCTGCCGTTCCACCTCCCGGCGCTGAGGTGCGTCACACGCATAGACGCCACGTTACGCTACTGAGGCGCGTCACACGCGCAGCGAGTCGCCGCCCGCGCTAACGCAGTCCTCTCCCCAGAACTACAGCGTCAACTACTACCTCAAAGGCGGTATCCCCAAACACAAGATGGCCATGGGCATCCCGCTGTACGGGCACGGCTTCCATCTGGACCACGCGGACCAGCACGGCCTGTACGCACCGGCCAGCCAGCCCCAGCCGGCCTGCCCCTACACCCGCCAGGCGGGCGTCTGTGGCTTCAACGAGGTCAGCACAGCGGCAACTCAAGCTCCCCACGTTGGGAGACCCATATCTGTTTATGACTATTTCTTTCCAGTTAACGCCCTCAGGGCCAATGTCCAATCTTCAGACGGCTAAGGGGCTGCGTGCCCTCTTTCTTTGCCTGGTTCCCATGTCCCTGGGTTACCGGAAGCGCGCAGCGGAGGCCGAGGGTTCCGCCGGCGGGCCGGCGGTCAGCACGGGCCCGTGGTCGGGCAGGCCCGCCGGAGCCCGGTGGCGGCGATGGCGCGGCGGCCGGTGCCAAGCCCGGCAGATGGCGGTGTCAGCGGTGCACTCTTGCACAGGCACTGATCGTGTTTTCGCGGGGCGGCGATCGGTGTAGACGATCTGTCCTCGTCCATGCGGCTCTGTCGCTGATGCCGGGAGCTCTGCGGCTGACGCCGAGCTTGCCACTTGGATCTCACGCCTGGATAAAGTCACCCGTCCGCCTGCGAAGCGGGGTGGGGCTCGACGGCCAAGTTGGTAGGAGAGGGGAGGCTGAATCCCGTGTCAAAAGATCCAACTTACACCGCTACCTCGCCTGTCCGGACGACGTTGCCTTACTGGCCCGGTGCCGGGTCCCACCCCCGCACTGTGCCGCCGGAGACCCAGCCGACTGGCGCCCTGCTGCCCTCAGATCTGCAAGCTGCTGGAGCAGGGCGGCTGGACTAACGTCCGGGATCCCGACCAGAAGGCCATCTACAGCTACAAGGGCAGCATCTGGGTGGGCTACGATGACTTGGAGAGCATGAAGCTGAAGGTGAGCGATGGTACCGCACGTGGCGGGGGGGGGGGGGGGAGTTTTGTGAGCGATTGTGATCAATTTCGCAACGCTGAGCACGTTCAAACGATGTCGTCCCCGGCCCAGCAGTCAGTGTTTTTTTATAGGTCGGGAAAGGGTCAGATGTGTCTTATGTTGTACAGTGATTTCATACAAACCCGATTCCTTTTCCTCGTTGATAATGTCTTCTTTCAAATTCGTATTTCTCTACTGCACAACGTTGCTTAAGTCAGGCACTTTTGGCTGGTTGGTCATTTCCTTCGTTATTGATGACATCATTGCTAAACCCCATTCATGTGATTTAGTGTCCATGCTGTGAGATGGGTTTTTGCACTGCAGCACGTGTGGACGGTGCAAGCGGCTGAAATACGCAACAGGTCTCGGACCATTTGATTTAAGCCACTGTGGTTTGGCCAGCTGTGAGAGGCACGCCACCTCATCAGTACCACATCACCCTCATCAGCATCGGCATCACCGTCATCACCATCACCATCACCCTCATCAGCACCACCATCATCCCCATCAGCACCATCATTACACTCATCAGCACAACCATCAACCTCATCAGCGTCACACTCAGCACTGCCATTACACTTATCGGAACCACCATCGCACTCTTCAGCACCATCTCGTCTCATCACCATGGTGGCACTCATCAGTGCCACCGTGACACTCAACAGCAGCATCACACTCATCAGCAAGACCATCACACTTATCAGCACTATCATCACACTCATCAACACCGCCATCACATGCATCAGCACTATCATCACACTCATCAGCACCATCATCACACTTATCAGGACCACCATCACACCCATCAACACCACCATCACACTCGTCGGCGCCACCATCGCCCTTATCAGCGCCACCATCACCATTATCACCACCACCATTACACTTACCAGCGCAGCCATTGTGCTCATCAGCACCACCATCACCTTCATCAGCACCACCACCACACCTACCAGCACCACCATCGCACTCGTCAGCACCACCATCACCTTCATCAGCCCCGATAGTACACTAATCAGCATCGCCATCGCAGTCATTAGCACCACCACCGTACTCATCAGTACCACCATTACACTTATCAGCACGACCATCGCACTCATCAGCAACACCATCGCCCCCATTCCAATGGTCAACTGACCGGGCATGTCTGCCAACCAGACCGACTACATCAAGTCGATGGGCCTGGGTGGCAGCATGGTGTGGTCCATCGAGACGGACGACTTCCATAACCTGTGCGGCTTCGGCGCGCCTAATCCGCTGATGACAGCCATCTGGACGAACCTGAACGGCGACATCCCGCATCCAACCGGACCCACGCCCACCACCGGACCGGTGAGATGGCTGCGGGAAGGGGGGGGGAGGGGGGGGGGGAGGGACTGCACACGGACCGGCGGCAAGGTTGCGGGTAAGTCGAGGCCGAGCCCAGCACTCCGACGGTTTTCACCTCCACCGGATCCATAGCTCTAATGGTGTCTGCTGCCTTCGGGTCCACAGACTCATACGGTGTCCACTGCCGTCTTGTGTACCACTGCCAGATGTTTTTTTTCCAGATGCTTTTTCCCCACTTTCTGCCATCGCTTGGACCGTGTCTCCTCCGGAGTGTTTGACATTGCCGCTGTGCCCTTCCGGATTGTGTGCGAATCCATAAGAAAGGAGCGGAAGGCGCTGGTCCCCAACTGTTGTAACCTGGACGATGGCAAACCCTGTCGACCACGCGTTAACAATGTTCCGACTCTCAAATTTGCGATTTGAATATCATCCTTTCGTATCCATGAACCTCTTACATTTTTTCTCGCCGAGTTCCTGACGAACGCGTCTCTCAACTACCTATGCGTTGTACTCGGGATGGCTCTTTGCTAAGTTATAAGCCATGAGAACGAGCAGTTTTACAGAGTTTCACGCACACTGCTTGAAATGCTCTAAGACAGGCATCTATTCACACGGGTTTTAGTGACGCGGGACTATGCTCTGTCAGTAGCGGCATTAATACCTATCTACTGTTGTTGCAAATAAAGTTGCTCGTACGTTGCCAAGCGATGCGATCTTTCAGTTCCGAGCAAATGTTGCGAACAGGAAGAAGCATATGACTGTGAGGATCACTTAAAGTTTTTGAAAACCAGCTTGTTTAATTCAGCAGAGCATAACTTTGGGCTCCAGGCTCGTTGAGAACAAGTTTACTCTCTTCAGAACACTTGACATAAAACCGCAACTCTGACAGCTGTCGGCGACTGTTGCAGACCACCCGGCCGACCGACCCACCGCCGCCGACACCCTCCCCCAGCCACGTGTGCAAGAGGAATGGTCTGAACCCGGACCCTGACAAGATGTGCTCGCCCATCTTCTACGAGTGCGTCAGTGACGGCGACCACTGGGACGCCACGCAGGTGAGCGCTAGCCACTCGTGCGCTCGCGGACAGCCGGTGTCTCGGCTGGTGTCCGATCGAGGAACATCCCAACGCAGCTCACCACAGCAGTTCGACATGCACTGGCGACACTTGCAGTTCGACATGCACTGGCGACACTAGCGGTTTGGGGCGACGTATGCAGTTCGCGCCCGGGCCCCGGTGCAGTAGACAACTGACCAGTGATGATGTGTCGTGATGGCGCCTTGGCTTTGGTGCCGAGTCACGGGCGGGCCGACCGACATCACGTGACCACCTGCCACACGCCGCAATGCTCATGCGAAGCCGGCGGCCCCGTCGAGGGAGCGGAGTCGCCGGGTGGAGGGGCGCGGCGGGCCAGCACCCCCCACCGGCCCGTTCCCCGCCTGTCGGTGTCCGTGTCCGACGCCGCCCGTTCCGGTGCCGGCAGGAGGAGTGCGCCAGCGGCACCGTGTTTGACCGCCTGGCCAACACCTGCGTGTGGATCAGCGAGTCCAACGAGTGCGACCACACACAGCCCCGCCTGGAGGCTTGAGCTGTTTCGCCTCGCGAGATCGGCCAGCGCTGGCCTCCGGCCCTAGGAGCTCGGGTAGTGTAACCTCCCCCGCGGCCTCCGCCGGTGCCGCGGTGTAACCTCCCCCGCAGCCTCCGCCGGTGCCGCGGTGTAACCTCCCCCGCAGCCTCTGCCGGTGTCGTGGTGTAACCTCCCCCGCAGCCTCTGCCGGTGTCGCGGTGTTGTAACCTCCCCGCAGCCTCTGCCGGTGTCGCTGTGCAGCCTCCCTCGCAGTCTCTGCTGGTGTCGGCTGCGCAAAGGCTGAAAGCCTATGTTCTGATAGTACACGCACGGCTTGAGCTCAATAAAATGCTTGAAACGCACTTTTTTGGGGGCGCGCGGGGAGCGGGACATTTCGCGAGCGTTTTGTGCACCTATGGGTCCGCCTTGGTTGCAAGCATCCCTATTCCCTGTTCAGTGTAATCTCGGTCTTAATGCGACGCGGCTCTCGTTTTTCCGAGATGAATTGCTCAGGCGCCCACACGACATCGAGAGAAGCATTGCGCGGGTTGTAATGATCTTCGAAAGGGACCTTTGACTTTCTAGACGCTGTAATGATTAAGAGTTGTTTCTTCCGGAATGCATACGTCGGAGGTCGCGGTGATGACATTCGCGAATCGGTGCTAGATTTACGCGTCGAGCTTCAACCTACGCCAGATGTGAATGCAGCGCGCTCCCCCGCTTCCATAAAACCGACCTCATTTGTTGTTATTCTGATGGCTATCCCCAGCCACGGGTAGAGCACCGCATCACAGACAAGAATATGTGTACCTAACCATCGTGTCCTGGCAGCACATCAGAACCGCAATTAGTTACATCCGTTCTCGCGCGTGCCTTGTAACCGGACGCTGGGCCACCGGCGCCTGACGCCTGGCAGCTGGCAGCTGTCAGTGGTCAGCGGTCGTCCGACATCTGGCAGCTGCCAATAGTCAGCGGTCGACCGACGCCTGGCAGCTGGCAGTTGTCAGTGGTCAGCGGTCGTCCGACATCTGGCAGCTGCCAATAGTCAGCGGTCGACCGACGCCTGGCAGCTGGCAGTTGTCAGTGGTCAGCGGTCGACAGACGCCTGACAGCCGGCAGCTGCCCGTAGTCAGCTGCCGATCTTAGCCCGACCGACCCAGTTGCCACCTCGCTGATATCAGGGCGCCGCTTCTCATCAGCTCGTACCGCACGAAAACCTTCGACTTCGATTCAGCGATCCCTGATGGATGGGCAGCGGCCTAATTTCGAGCCCGCTGACGTTTACCAAGTTCTCACGCCCTCACACTTCTCGGCTTGGTCACTCCGAATAATAAAACACGTCAGGCTTAAAAATTGTTAGATTCTTTTGTCACGTCATACAGCTGTGTACAGTCTGCAGTGTGCTTCACTTCCGTTTCCTTCGACGCGTTCTAGCCGAAATGCGACGTACATCTCGCTCCTCAGCACCACTCGAACCCATACATAATAATATATCATCTGCTCCGGGCAACCTAACAAATACATAGCAAAACCTGCCAGAAAGGGCATGCGGCGTACAGAAGAGTGAAGGGCCGGCGGCGCTGGTGCTCACAGGGTGTGACTGCTGCCGGTAGCTGCGCCGGAGGGAGGGAGGGGGAGGCGCGGGGGCGGGGTCCGCGGCCGGCGGCCGGCAGGGCGGGCGGACGGCGGGCGGCGGGCGGGCCGGGTCAGCATCATCAGTCAGTGTGAGCGGGGCGGGCGGCCCGCCCGCGCCGGCGCCGCCCGCTCCCGCCGCGGCCGGCGCGTGCCCCGACCCCGGGCCGTGCCCGCCGGCCGCGCTCGGCGCCGGCGGCGGCGCGCGGCGCGCTCTAGTAGCCGGACAGCTCGGCGAAGGCGGTGTCCATCTCGTCGGCGATGCCCTTGTACTTCTCCTTCTCGTTGACCAGCTCGTCTGCGGGCGGCGCGGGCACACGGCAGCGGTCAGCGGAGACAGCGGCCGCGGCCGGGGCCGCCCCCACACGGGCGCCACCTACGGGCGCGTCCTCACCGCCGCCGCACGGCCGGGCGGGGCCGGCGCCCGGACAGCGGGCCCGGCCCGGCCAGCGCCGAGCAGGGCCCACAGCCGGACACACAGACCGGCAGACGGAGGAGAAGACGGACAGACAGATAGACAGAGAGAGCGAGGGAGAGGCAGAGTGCAGCAGGCGAGCCGCGGACGGATGGCAAGCGACCGCGGTTTAGTAGGCCGACATCTCGGAGAAGGTCGTGTCCAGCTCGTCCGAGACGGACTTGAACTTCTCCTTCTCGTGCACCAGGTCGTCTGCAAGGCAGGCCCGCGGTCAGCCCGAGCAGCCCTCAGTCACCTGGCATGCACCCGAGACAAAGCCAGCAGCCAGCCCTTCGGTATTAAGGCGGCGGTGTTACAACAGCTCCAGTGGCCAGCACGGCTCGGTTAACGGCAGCCGGGAGTTATTTCAGAGACGTTATTGCAGCAGAAACGCGCACAGATGAAGCGTGATAGTTATTTGTTGTTATGGTCATTGTTATCGTCCGTTGCAGAGAAGTCGTCATCGTTAGCAAAGCAGAGGAGACCCCACATACAACATAGCCCAGCGATTTCAACACAAGGGTTCTTCATCACGTCATTATACCAGGACCACGTTAACTGGCTGATGTGAGACAAGTTGTATTTAGTAAGTACATTTAGTACAAAGCACACTTCATTCATCCCAGCTCCGGCCAGCTCCGGCGTCCGTCCACCGAACCCGCACTTAAGTGTCTGTGTATGGGAGAAGATTGGTGAGGAAGGAATCGGACCTACGTTTGCAGCTTGGCAGTCGTACTGTGACATGCATCTAAAAAACAAAAACAAACAAAAACAACAGAACGCAAATCAGTCACAATACCTGCACTGGACGGCCTACAGTCGGCTGCATCGGCCCTTCTTCCGGCTGACTGACTTACGCCTCACCCAAACCTGAGCTCCACACCGCACACCATGGCCCGGCGCGTCACGTCCCGCCCGGCGACCGTTCCTGAGCGGCCGTGCGACCTGGCGGAGATGCCTCGCCACACGGGGAACGGCCACCGCTCCGTCCCGCACCGCCCGCGGCTCACCTGGCCCGCCTTCGCCGGTCACACATGCACTGGACGGTGTTCACAGGTTCTGGATGTCCTTCAGGGTAGTGTCCATCTCGTCCTCCAGCTGTTTCTGCTGCTGGCGCGACTCGAGCAGCTGGTCTGCACGTGCCCGGTCGCGGTCAGAAGCGGGGCACACCCAGGCGGCGCGCACCGGTAGGCGGCAAACGAAACAAAACGGCACGCGGCCCGACGGCCAAACAACACACTCGCAGCCAACCAAGCAGGCAAAAACGACGAGCACGAACTGGTCAATGGTAGTGCAAACTGGGGCGCGGTTGGCATTCACTAGCAACTCTTCTGTCTAGTCATTCCATGCCAAAAACGTAGAAAACGCAGACATGCCATCGAGCGAGGCGTCACGCGGTCCACAGCCCCGGTAGGTGGTCAGAGGCCAGAGGAATGACGGTTGCCCCGGGATTCGGAGGATGCTGTACGGTACAAGTCTGGGTACCGCGTGTTTGCGTGTTAACGAATAACATGAGCGTTATTACCTGGCCTAGTAGGCACTGGTGGCCGCGCGGAGTTTATCCGAATGAGCTGCTTGTAACACACAAATGGTCGTTGGTAAGGGAACCGGACCCAGCCCGCTTCAGCGTGGTGGGAATTTTCAGCCTTAGTCCCGAATCCAACGTCTAAGGTAGGAGACTCCAACATCTACGGCAGGGACTCCAGATGAATCTAATCCATGACAAATCCGGGGTGTCCAGTTGGGTCCCCGTCGGTGAACCCGTACCACAACACAAACAGACATACCCAGGAGCCTGCCCATGGCGACCATACGTACCGGGACCAGGAATGAACACGGAGCGGAGCCTGTTGGGCCCACCACCGACCCCACTAGACGGCTGTCACCGTGTGACAGACACAGCCGGTCCGATCAGCCCACAGTCCCCCAGGCCCACCCCGACCCCCGTGCCCGGCAGCAGCAGCAGCGCGGCAGCGGCCGTCCCACGCACCTTCCAGTCTGTCGACCTCCTTCTGCAGCTTCTGGACCGACCGTTCGGCGAACTCGGCGCGGGCCTCAGCCTGCCGGGCAGCGGGCGTCAGCGGACGGCATGGCGTCGGTCACAGCACGGCGGCCGGCCGGCCACGCACCGCCGACCGGCCGACGGAAGACGGGCCGGCCGCCGCGCCGACAGCCACACATCAGCCCATCAGCACACGCTTCTGACTGCACTCAAGTCGACCGCGTTAGCGTCGGAAGCTACACGCGCCGCACTGAATCGTCTGACGCGCATCAACTAGGCGACGGGTTGAGCGCCTCGCTCGACACCGATCACCGTGCCGGACCAGCGGCGTGTGCCGCACGGGCGGCGCACCACCCGGCGCCCTCCGGGCACGTCCGCAGACGAAGCCACTCGGTATTAGCCTCGTGAGGCACGAAAGGCGGCCACAAGCGACACAGTTGGAGTTAACACGTATTATGGCCGATGAGTTGAGCTTATCGCGGCGCAGGTGAAGCGGTCCGTTTACGTGGTAGTGCACTTACCGCAGTATCGTACAGCACGTTAACAAGCCACGGCCTGCAGCTCAAGAGCTTTTCAGAAGCCATGAAATCGCGCAAGTAACTCCGGGCCACACCAGACGCCAGGAAAGAAGCAGAAGGCAGGAGCGCAAGGGGAAAAAATCTGAGCCCACCCCGACACAACGAGAAAGGAGATATGCGCCGACAGCAGTTTGCTGCATGAGGGCCGATTGGGGCCACTGCTTTTAGCCAGTTTTACTGAGGCATTAACGACCCGTGCTGTAAACGAACACGGCGCATACCGATTTTGCCCCCGATCTGGCCAGAATACAGCCGGCGGCTCGCCAGAGAAAGCATCCGCCGCTTTAGGAACGTTGGCATGCGGCCCCCGTTCGGAGCAGGCGGCGCGGCTATCCACGCCCCGAGCGGCGCTGGCACGGCGCCGGCGGCGGAGGCGGCGGCGGCGGAGGCTCACCTCCTTCCACCGAATCTCGCTGTCGTGCTGAAGCTTCTGGAACATGTCCTCACGCTGCGAGGCCTAGAGGAACACGACGGCGTGAGTGGCACGAGCGCACGGCACGCCCTCCCCCCATGCCGTCGACAGTTAGTCAGACCACGGCACACCGTTAGCACACACGGCGGCGAGAGGGGGCAGTACCTGCTTCAGGCGCTGAGTGAACATTGTCAGCTGGCGTTCGTACTCTTCCTCGCGCTCTTTGGCCTAGAGCCGGCGGGCAGCGCAGAGAGAACGGAGGTCACGTCACGGCACGCACAGCGAAGGGTCGAGCCGGAGAGGGCCAGGCCAGGCCAGGGCAGGGCAGGGCAGGGCAGACTAGGCCAGGCCAGGGCAGGGCGGGGCAAGGCACCGTGCCCGTCCTGGTTAGTGGGGCCGCGGAGGCCGCGCGGTCGGGGCGGGGCGGGGTGGGCGCGGGCCGGGCTCGGGAGGGGTCGACAGCTAGAGAGAAGAGTGCCGGCGAGCGTCGTCCACGGCCGTCGCCTGTCGACACGTCACGCCAGCCAGGGGCACCCCATGCTCGTGGACGCCGGACGGCCGGCACATGCTCGGTGGGCCCGGTTACCTGCTTCATTCTGTTCGTGAGCTGTTTGATCTGTTCCTTATACGCCTCCTCACGCTGGTTGGCCTACAGGACAAGCCGGCGGCGTTTAGTGGCGCCGGGTCCGCTGGGGAGCGGCCGGGACGAGGCGCGAGCGGCGCCAGGGTGGCCCTGACCCAGTGTCTCCGCGCCCGTCCCAGGCCGGAGAGAAAGCCTCCCGGCGCGGCGTCCCAGGGTCGGGAGAAAGCGGCTGGCGCTCGGCCGACCCCGCTGCTCGGAGGTCAGCGTCCGCACCCCGGCTGTCTCGCCGCCCGCCGATGGTGGCGACTCTCCACCAGGGAGCGGCTACCGCCCACATTACAGCCCAGCTTGACTCCAGCCACGCCCCAATGAGATAGGGGAAAGACCCGCACCCCTCCGCCCTAAAAACAGGCTGTATGTCCACCACGGGTCAGGCTGCCGGACGCGTGGTGAGAGGGGTAAGGGTGACGAGCGGGTATTCGCTGCTGCAGCATACCAATACCCGCGCCATCGCCGTCGAACAATGACCGAAACAATCACACATACCGTACAGACGAGGTTCACTAGGTCACGGAACGGGGTCAATCAGCGAGGCCTTTGTCCGCCCACTGTCTGCCAATCGCAACAGACTGCGACCAATGCTGGGTCAAGGAGCAACTGACCTCACCGCATCAGCGCCCCACTGATGCAGCTATGGTGCACGCAATCAGCTGCATAAACGTATGACTAAACAGAAGGTCCGGGGCCAATCACGAGAAGGAAAGTAATACAAGTATGCTCGGTCCAAACCCGGTGTAGAAAACCCATGAACACAATGTCTTGAGTTTCACAGCTTTACACCCACCAAACATGAATCATCGAAAGCCAGAAAGGTGTCTACCGGGAGGGCATCCCTGCGACTCAACGAGTCGATGACCGACACAAAGGTGCCCTTCGACGGCGGCGGTCCACGCGCGACGACAGCATTACCTTCTCCTCGGAGACCTCGAGCGACTTCAGGTTGTTGCCCACCACGCGCAGCTCCTCCTCCAGCTCCACGATCTTGCTGCGGGACGGACCAGAGGCACGGCGTCAGTGCGTGGCAACAGTCGGCCCACGCGCCACGCCACACCGCACCGTCGAGCCATGCCTCGAAGCCCGCGCTGCTCTGGCGACGGATTAATGCCTCACCGGGCAACAACCAACACTCTTCTCCGCCTATGTAAAACAGCCAGCGAGGCGCCATGCATCTCAATCAACGCAGCACCGCTTGAGAGACGGAAATGACAGCCGCGTCATGTAGCTGCTGTTCAAGCCAAACGTATGCAGCGGGAGACGGGGCTCCAGTGCAGACCGAGAACAGCGCAGAGAGCATCAGACCAAGGCACATTCACAGCACACCAAAGGCCGAACCACAGCAAAGTGTGGTGCCAGCACGAGTGAAGGAATACTCACGCCTCGCCTCCCTCCACTCAACCAGACAGTGGGTGTAGTGAACGAAGGGCACTGGCACCCTGTCGGTCCCGCCACGCCCGGCGGTGGGACGGACCGGCGGCTAAGCCAGGGGTCTCCGGTCTGGGTTCGCGAGGGCGTCGACATCCCTGACCGTTGATGTTGGGCATGTGATGGAGGCAACCCGGGACGAATAGCTGTGTCACATTGAAGTACGGATATCTCGAGCCGCTGGTGGGCTGACGCGCGTAGGGGCAGGTAGGGCTCGGGGGGGGGGGGGGGGGAGACCAGTGCATCCCAGATGTCGCTCCCGTCTCGCCTACCGCTGTGGCCGCTGCTGGGCTTGGCTCCCCGGAGCACAACAGAGCGGTGCCAAGTTAACTACTCACGTCCCGTCTGTGACTTCATGGTCACTGCTGGGCTGGTGTGTGTGCGCGTAGGGGGCAGGGGGAGGGGAGGAAGGACCCAGGGGCGTTGCTCACCTCTCGCCTGTCTCGGCCCGCTCCTCGGCCCGCTCCAGGTCATTCTCCAGCATGACCACCTTGCGCGCCACCTGTCAACGAGCCAGGCACACACGGGCCCATCAGGCGCATGCCGGCCGGTGGGCCACCGGACCCAGTCGAAAACCACGCCACACGCCGGCGGCAGCACACACGCACACCACGGCTGCGCATGCCCAAACGCCGGGCGACGGCGGCACGGCCATGCGGGAGCGCCTGTGGAGGGTCGTGCCTCGGGCGGGGCGGGCTGACACACAACACACGGCACGCCACTCACGATTCGCCCGTCTCGGCGCGCTCCTCGGCACGCTCCAGGTCGGCCTCCACCATGGCCAGCTTACGGGCCACCTGGCGACAGCAGCGGGCCCGGCCCAGTCAGTGGTGTGCTGACGGCGATCAGAGCACTGGCTGGCGCAGCGACGCACCCAGACTGGCCTCAGAGCCGGCTCCAGTCAAAGAGCGGCGACGCCGCATTTCGTAATCTTTTTGACATTCTTTTTATACCTCATGTGGAATTGATAAAATCAATAAGTGTCCCTGTTTACACAGAGAACGTCTTAAGCTTCCCATAGTAGTGGCACAGACTCTACGACGAAAGAGCATGTTAACGGATTTACCAAGATGGTTTGAGCGTGATGATCGTTCCAAGTGTGTGTAAAAGGCAACTAAAGAGGACCGACGCACAACAAACCTAGTGTGTGCCTGCGTGACTGTATCATGTGCATTCGACATCAAACCACACACTTCTCGCATGCCGCCATCGCTGACCACGCAGCCGCAGTTCTCGGGAGCGACCAGCATTCCTGTGAACAAGTCGCGGGGACCAGCTACACTGCCGTCAGGACCGGACGGACCCCCTACAGCAGCCGCCTGTCGCTCCCGCCTGTCGAGAGTCCACACTCCTGGGGGCGGGCGTGCGGTTAGTGTGGACCCGCGCGTCACACCACCGGCCGTTAGCCACACGGAGGGCGGGTCACGCGCGGTCACCTCGTCGTACTTCCGGTCGGCCTCCTCAGCCAGGAAGCGGGCCTCCTTCAGCTGGTTCTCCAGAGCGTCCATGCGCTCCTCATCCGAGAGGCTGCGGTTCTCCAGCACCTTGCGCATGCTGTCACGGACGGCGGCGCGTCAGACAGCATGTCCCGACCCGCGTCCCTCCCCAGCAGCCGGCGGCGGCGGCCAGCTCACCTCGCCGGGACCCGGCCGGCGCCATCGGCGGCGGTCACCAGCCAGCGGCAGCCGGACCCCGGCGAGGCCGCACAGTCGCGCGCGCGCCCGCTCCTCCCCAGCACAGCGGCCGCCCTACCTCCTCGTATTTCTTGTCCGCCTCCTCGGCGATCAGCTTGGCCTGCGCCAGCTGCGCCTCCAGGATGGAGACGCGGTCCTCCTCCGTGTTGGTCCGGTTCTCCAGCGCCTTGCGCTCGCTGCGTGCGGGCACGTGTTCACGCCGGTTAGTTCACGGCACGCGGCGGCAGCTGACCTCGGGTGAAAACTAAAGGGAAACGGGCGACCACGCATACATGCACCGCCAGCAACATGGTCAATTGGAGGTCCGGGAGAGGCTCCCTGGATTCACATGGAAGTGGGCTATTAATATTCATAGCGTTACAAATCGCAAAATTTGCGGAGTACGCAAAAACAACACAAAAACACACAAAAACAAAGCATGCCACATAACGCAGCCTGGAATAATGCTCGACTTGAGGACAATCTAATTGTTATCACCTAGGGTGCGACGCAGGTTCTGGTTATGACGGCTCGGTCCAGAGCACACCGCTGGCGCGCGGCTCGGCCAGAGTGCAGAGGCGACATACCTGCGGCACTGGCCGGCCGCCCCGCTCGGGCCCGCTCAGAGAGCGGACGCTGACACACTCGCAAGGCATGCATACACATCACAAAGGCGGCGCTGTGTATACAGTGTCCGGGCTGTCGGTGGACAGGGCCGTCCGACCGGAGGTCGACTCGCAACACCGTCCGACCCCGTCGTGGGCCTCCCATAGTTTGACCCAACTATTATCTCCGAGCGTTGTTGCACTGTTATATCAACGTCAGCGGCCGACGTTCGGCCACGCTGCACTAAGCTGAGCTGTGCTGTACTGTGTGCTGTGCTGTTCTGTGTTGTGCAGTACTGTACTGTACTGTACTGTACTGTACTGTACTGTACTGTGCTGTACTGTGCTGTGCTGTGCTGTGCTGTGCTGTGCTGTGCTGTGCTGCGCTGCGCTGTGTTGTGCTGTACTGTACTGTACTGTACTGTACTGTACTGTACTGTACTGTGCTGTGCTGTGCTGTGCTGTGCTGTGCTGTGCTGTGCTGTGCTGTGCTGTGCTGGAGTATCGCACGTACCGCTCGGACTCGTCGGCGGAGTGGGACGCCTCAGCCAGCTTGGTGGTGGCGGTGGCCAGCCGCTCCTCGGAGCGCTCCAGGTCCTCCTCCAGCAGCTGGATGCGGCGTCCCAGAGCCGAGACCTCGCCCTCAGCCTGCGGCACAGCCGGCCACGCGGGCCCGCCGTCAGACAGCACCCGTCACGAGCGCTTCGCACCGTCCAGTGCCAGGGCCGGCACTGGTCCCCAATACACAGAGCGTCAGGACGTCGCCAACAGAGCACACGGACAGACCAAATGTATACCGCAACGTAGCGGACGGCACCCGACGAGTCAAACATCTCACCACCTACGCGCGACCAAGCGCAGGACCGCACCCCGAACATGGCGGCGGGCCGCACCTCCAGACCGCACCTCGCACAGCATGCTGTAACGCACAGCGCCACACGGCGGACAACGCAGCCGCACACCACAGGGATCAGCCCAACGAGCGCCGCACGGCATACCAGCAGCACGCCATCGACAATCACACCACGCACATCACGGCGGCACATGCCTGGGGCGGATGGACGGCACATGTCGGTGCCGCGCGACACATGCGCACGCTGCCGGGCGGGGCCTGCCGCCACGCGCCGCCCTGTGTGCCGGGGGCGTGGGCACCGGCCGCGTGACGTCACGTGACGCGCGCGGCACCTCTGTCACGCACCATCCCAGGACAGTAATGTATTCGGCAGACCGTTAACGGTCCGGCGGACGCGTCGTTTTTTTCTGGTGGTCTGTCCGCACGGCGGCACGACTGTTCCGAAAACACGGCAGATCCCGATCTCTGCCGTGACGGGTGGTGACCGAAGGCGGCGCACCGCCGCACAAGGGTCCGGATGAGTTCCCGACTTGTGCGTCCGTGCCTCAGTTGACTTTCCACAGCACGAACCGACGGACGAGGACTTCAAATGTGAAACTAGCCGTGCCCTACCCGGCACGCCGGCGGCTTGTCAGAGAGCAGCTGAAGGGCCGCTCACCCGGTAGCCACAAATAAGGCAGCGGGAGAAACCACTGTCGGAGGCGGCCCGCACACTTCGTCCCTCCCTCCGCGACCGTCAGCAGAACGCATGGGATCGGCTTTCGCCGAGTGGGCGGTGCGGCGGGTCGGGCGGGCCGGCTCGGAGGCTCGGGAGACGGCTCGGAAGTCTGGGCGGCGGCGCGGGGGCTACGCTCGGCTCAGGCCTGACGCCCGCCGGCCGCAGCGATGCTCGGCTCAGGCCTAACGCCGGCCGGGTACGGCGGCGCCCGCCCGGCAACAGGTCACCCCGCCAGACCGGCACGCCCCTCCCCCGACGCCGGGACTGTAGCCTGACCGGGCGGCGGCTCAGGCTGACCCCTGACTCACCGATTTCGCGCGCGATGAAGACTGCACCGCAAGTTCACCAATCCCTCCAGCCCCCGCGTCACAACGGCATACCACAATGGGACTCCGATCCGCCCTTATATGGCCATGGACGGCGGCCGGCCGCACCCGCTGGCATGGTGTACCAGCGGCCACCGGGCCGCGCCAGGGTGCACACAGGCCTGTATCAGTTTACAAGGTGCCCTAATCTGACGATATGACTCCGGCAGATTGCAACCACTGCGATGTGGATGGTGGATGGCGGTAGGATGCGATGCCGATGACGTAGCAGATGCATATTTGAAGGGTCGGGATTTAAGCCGCATCGAGCGGTCAGCTGACTCATTGGCGGAGAACTGAGGAGAGCAAGGGAGAGACATCTGCCACCACTCGTGATAAAATTTTAATTGCCGATGTGGCGTTCTGTTGAACAAAAACAGGATAAATCCGAAATATGCTCAAAAGCTTCGCGAGTGACCATGAATGGGATGAGAACTTCAGGATTTCCGCACTTTCAATCACCCACTGTCCAAAATCACTGAGATGCCTAATTAGCAGCACGAATCTTGCTTCAATCTTTTGCGCTAAACGAAATACTTAACCCAGCACTGCGGGCTTCTTCAATGGATGTTTTAGCGCGTCATGGATGCTTTTGAGACACTGCTCGTACATAGCCTTAACTCCTACAATCATGGCCATGAATGCAGTAAAACAGCCAAGAATAATTTCTTCCAAAACTGCGAACGTGAACATAAAAAGCACTACGGCAGACGCCGAGCATTGCAAGGTACGCGGGAGAAAATCAATGGCGCTGGTGATACCTCGCCATAAAAATATGATTTTGACTCACTGAAAAACTTCAATGGAATACACAAGCTCAAGCATACGAACCAAGTCATTAAAAAATGGGTCAGACTAATGCAAGTCCATCCAGAACAGTCACACATCACCCACTTCTTCCTTTCGCCGGGTTTCATCAACAAGCTGCTTGTTGAGCTCGTCGCACTCGTCACGTTTGGCCTCCAATTCATCCCTAGTTTGGGTCATTTTCTTCTTCAGAACCTCCAGCAGAGTAGCACCTTGACCACCAGACATTTTTACAACGCGTTTCGTCCTTTCCCTCGGCAAAACACGCTATCACCAAACAGGCCGCACCCAATCTCCGACACCACACCACCGCCAGTTGGACACCGCCCTCCGCCCAGCACGCCTGGCGACCGGTGACTGGACGGCCGAAAAGCCTCCGCGGCAAAGTATAGTTCCATATATGGTCCCGAAACTCCATGATAGATCTGACCATTCAGGGGGTAAAAGTGAGCCACATGACGTCGCTGAATTTGGTCAGATCTCCATAAGGCGCAAAACACTACCATAAACGATGAGTTCCATCTTAGCAGGAATAGGAATGCATGCGCCAACCAGTGGTTTTCAACAGAAGGGAAAAATCGCCCAACACAGCTCTGCCGGAACTCCTGCAATTTGCGACCATCACGCACATTTTTCACTTCGAGTCATGCTACGTGACATTCTCAAGCTACAACAAGTCGAGCTCCCGAACAGCTTGACGTAACGAAGGGATGGGCTGACAGGTTGAGAGCAACTGCGCTCTGAGATTTGTGAACCAAGGGACAACATTCCGAAATTCCGGGCACCGCACACATATTGAAGTGAAACGAAAGGTTATCTGTATGACTACGTCGTGCACATAAGCCATCTGAAAAGTGGCAGAGTACTGTTTGTTTTAAATGCCCCAGCAGGACAGATCCAAGGTTCAGCTGTGGCACATGGACAACGACCTTGACAATGAGCGCGACGCCCACACGGGTCACAACCGACGATTGAGAGTACAGGTACGTGGGCAGTGAACATGTACCTGGGACAATGTCGACCACGAATGCAGTTCCCTTAACAATTATGGGCTCTAGCCACTTTGAGAAGAAAGTGGGCCAGATGCAGGGAGAAACCAGCTGCTATAATGGAGATTGGGAGGTCTAAGCATTTTCCCCCACCCAGCTGCCCTCCCAATTTTGTGGAACTACATCCCTGCTGTCGGCCTCACACGAACACGGACGACAGGTCCCATGACCTGGATGAAAAAGTACCTACCCTCCTCAGTTGAACTGTCATGATGTTGTGGAGCTCATTCTTAATAACATTCAGTTTCATCATGGTGTTCGAACTAAAGATTGAAGAGCCAAACGCGAGGCCTGGATAATCTGCACATCGATTTCGCCTGTTGTGCCTTTCGGCCACCACTTCTGTCCTCTCACCACTGCACCGGAGTTTTGAAAGTTCGAGTATTTCTTGATCACTTTCATCGTCCATCACATTTGAGGCGCCTGCTGTTCCACTACGACTCGTTGGCCTGCGACGCTGCCGCACCTCGTTGTTGTCACTGTCCGTATTTGCATTGTCTAATTCACTAAGACTTGATGTCGAGCTTGCGGGGGTCAAGTTCCCATTGATCCCGTCCACGTTAGCCACTAAGTTCCTTGTCCGGTCGCGCGAGGAGCGAGCACCTCCCCTCTCCTCCATATTGCGTTGCACAAGCAGTCAGCTGATGGTCAGAGCATCACCCAATTACGTAAACATATGGCAGCGCCATCTCTTGTCAGAGTTCCAAACCAGAGCTTTGCTACGTTAAACTCCTCCCTCAACGCGACCAGTAACTGCAACGCGAGCAGGAGCAAAACTCGCGACGTTGCCGGTCCCGGAGACAGCCCGACCCACAGCGCATGCGCCGCTAGGCCGAACCCGAAGCAGACAGGCTCGCAACTCGAGAAATACACTCCGTCCGCGGCGCCGAGATGACGTTCACACCAGATCACTCTCCACAGCGGCGGAGCGCGTCGGCACGCAGGCGGGCACGAGTCGCGCACAGCCGACAGCACGCGGTCTTGGCACGGCTCGCTCTGCCCGCTGCATGCGCGTCGGAGCCGACGGCCGCCGATGACTTTAAAAGGAGGAGCGTGACGTCACGCCGACGGTGGATATTTCTGTCCGCCGCCGGCGGCGAGCCAGGGGGCTGCGGCGAGCGCCGCCGGCGCCGCCAGCGGCTGGGTCGACTCAGCCAGGCCGGCGGGTTCGCCTAGCGTCACCCTCTTTCAGACACCCGGAGAGCTGCCGCCATCGCTCTTTGACACACGTTTGTAGAGTTTGTTGAATTATTTTCGCTTTCCTGGAGTCTCGTCAGCTGCCGTCCCTCCCCCTCCAAGCTCTCCCCTGACCGGCTGTGCGCCAAAACGTTCGCAGAAACTGCCTGCAAGGCCTGCATCAACCTACGACCCACACTTCACGCCACTTCAGCGCGAGTAGCGCTTCCTGCGTGCTCAAGAAACCTTGTTTGCCCTGTCTTTTTTTCGTTTCGTGAGGGTGCTTAACATTGCGCTAACGTCGCACTGTTGTTCCTATGAACTAGCTTTTCCAACAATCTACTGCAAGTGTGATAAAGGTTTGTCTTATCCCCCAAGTTTGTGGAATGCGCTTATAGCAACTTTTTGTGACTTTAAAAAGTTAGAAGGCATATCCCGGATTGCTCATGAGCAGCAGCCCATGCAAGCACGTTTGGTGCCTTAACTGTGTGACCACTTACGTATGGCGCATTCTTCTATTTTACACCGTTGTCGCTCCTCCCGAGGCGCGCTGACCGCGTTTCTGACTGCTAGTTCGTCATTCGGCCGGAGCGGTACGGAGCCCCGCCCGGGGCCGGGAGACAGAGCGGGGCTTCAGGAGACAGAACGGGGCTCCACGCCACACAAGGCGATCTCGGGTACTGATGCTGGCTGCTCTGCAGCCCCCACTGCCCTCCTCACCCAAGCCAGGTCAGGTCAGGTCACGAAGGGCCGTGAGCAGACAGGGCGAAGCCCCGCGAGTGTCACATTGAATGAGGTCCGTGCTCAGTGGGGGCGATGCATCGTGAGTACACTGCCGGCCCCGGCTGGCTACAGAAGGGGCCTGCGGCCCGTGGATGCACGGTGACTGCCGCCAGCTGGGGAGAGCTGCGGGGATGACGGCCCGCCAGCTGACACGCGATCACGCGTGGAGACAATGGACATCCACCGCTGACTTGGCACATGGACCCCTCCACATCACTAGAGCGGATTTTAAACGCTCTGAACGCACTGCGGCGCGACGGAAGCTGTATGTCGTAGCTGACACACGCTGGGTACAGATGGCGTGAGAGACGAGCACTGACATTGACCATATGGACCTCGTACACATTGACCACGTGGTGACACTAGCACGCTTCGTGACGTGAGGGCGTGCACTCTATACATGTCGCACAAGCAGCAAACGTATGAATAAACGGCTACCATGGTTTATGGGTAGCCAAGGCCCTCGGAACAAAATGGGACCACACGGCACACAATGCAGCATCATGCCTTGTTACGGGAATAAGGTCTTACAAAAACGTCTTTAAGTTTGCTTTCCATAGTTGCTTGAGAAGATATCCATTCGAAGAAAGAGCTATCTTTAGTCCCAACAGATCATGAATTAATGCCACATTTCTTCTTGTTTTTGTCCGTAACGGCATACGCCTATGTATTCCCGTACTGAGACCGTCAGCAGGTGACACCTGGCTTCCACTGGGCGAAGCTGATGCCAAAACTGCCCTGAATCATTACAACGCAAATTTTGGGGCAACTCAGAAGAAGCTGTTCCAACTTTCTGTGTGTTCGAGTTCACATGTTTTAGTGGGGCCACATTCCCTTTTAAACCGCAAATATGAATACAGTGAACCCCTAGAATGCATGGATTCACAGACTGCATGACATAAATGGCACAGGAAGACGGCAAAACAGTAATACAAAATATGCACAAAGTCAGTTGGTAAGCATTTGCCGCGACAAAGTAAAAACACTGTTAGTAAAAAATACTCTACAATATTAGGTCACTGAAGCCAGAGGGCTGCCTGAAAGGGGGTTACAGTAGCCGATGTTTCCGTGTACCTTAACACAACCCATGAATAGCTTGTATCACAAAAGTTTTATTTGGGTGGCATAAAACCCATGCGCTCATTGGAAGTCCAAAACTAGCTACCACCAGTTCGAAACCTTGAAACACGAAGCGATAGGCAACTGGCATCTCGCTATGGTTTCTCAAGGTCTTCACCAAGCCAAACCATCTTGCGCCACTAACCCTACTTTCTTGTACTAACTGCAGTGACAGCTACAGGTATCGCTTCATGTATTTGGGGTTTTGGGCGCTGCGACTACATGATCATATGGGGTCCGCAGCTACAGCTCTGTCAACGGGGTCACCTGATCCTGCACTCAGCTTTACAATGCAGAGCTACAGCGGAGTAAATCGGAACTAATATAACACCATTCCAGCTCAGAGCAGGCTCCTTCGGTGCCACCAGTTCGGCTCAGCCGGCCGTGAAGGTGACACTCTGACCTATGACGGGCCGCCTACTAACTCACATTCGTCAACGCCTTATCTTTTTCGACGAGCTCATTATTAGCGCTCAGCAGTTTCTCGCTGGTTTCGTCAAAGTCGTTCTCCAGCGTCTGCATCTTTCTCTGGATACTTCGCAGCTCATCCTCCGCCTTTCCGGGCACAAGTCAGGGACGAAGAAGAAGCGTTATTGGCGCATGCGCAGACTGGGCGGACGTCCCCTGAGGACGGCGCGTCCCGCCGGCTCACCGTCGCCAGCGCCTTGTCCTTCTCCTCCAGCTTGTGGTTGGCATTGGTGAGCGACTCCTGCGCCGTGTCCAGCTCGTTGTCGGTCTGCTGCAGCTTCTTCTGGAGGGCCCTAAGCTCCTCCTCGGTCTACAGGGCGCATACGGCTACAGATTAGCCTAGCTACGCGACGCTACCCTGTGGAGGGTGTACTCACGGCGGTCAGCGCCTTGTCCTTCTCCTCGAGGCTGGCCTGGGCGGCCTGCAGCGCCTCCTGCGCCATGTCAAAGTCGTTCTCCAGAGTGCCGAGCTTGCGCTGGATACCGCGCAGCTCGTCCTCCGCCTGACAGTGACGGTTAGTGACGGAGCACGCGTTAGAAGTGCCGCACACGCACGCCAGGGTGACGCCGGGGTCAGCACACCAAAGCCGACCGGAAGTGGGCCAAAAGGCGAAACAAAAATTAGACAGGAAAGAATGGGGACGTGCGGCACGTGGTTTCAATCAAAAGAAGTTTTTTAAGTGAAAAGGGGATCAGCGTGGCGGTCGTCAAGGCTGGACGTTTGCAAAATGTTTTAGCGATGAAACAGAAGCGCGAATCTGGTCAAGAATGCTGAAGAAGAGGGGCATTAGTTAATAAGTACACATAATTTAATTCATGGGATAGATGAAAAGTGGGCACACATATACAAGCGCGAATGAAGTGGACGCCAAAGAATTTGTGTGTTTGTGGTAAGATAAAGCTTCCCCATACATACTTTGATAATTTTTCAATACGTCCACTTCACCCGGTCACTCAACACGCGGTAGTTAAGCACAAAAACCATGCAACCTACTTGTTCCTGAAAACGTCTACATCACGTTTGAACCATGGTATCAAGCCATATACATCACAGTAAACATTAACGTTAGTGTCCAATATAGCAATTTACGCTGTCAAGATGACAAGAGCGATGAATTCCCATTACTAATGAATTTCCACTCTTCAACTGCGTGAGATTTCGCACGTTATGAAAAAAACACTTTGAGCAAGCACTCAGTGCTTAGAACTAAAAATAAACATGTACTATGCTGTAGAAAAGGCAGGACGATTAACAAATATGGACGCTTATTCTGGAGTGTACAAAAACCCTGCTAATAGCATCAAGAATAAGGACATCAATATTTTTTCGGTGATACGCCTAGGCCTAGCCCAAAAGCTCGATTTATCTGCGTCTACATGGTACAGTCTGACGGTGCGTAAGCTCATTACGCGACTGCATAGGTCTACTGAAAGATTACGTTTTGAAGAAATTGAATCATATGAGAGGTGGAATGCTCGAAGCCAAGAGTTGCTTCAGTTACCGTGCAGAATATGCACGTCGGGTGAGTTTTGGGATGAGACCAAAATATAAGATCATATATTTTATATATATATATATAAATATATTGTATCTATGGTACCAAAATGTTCTTAATTGTTTATGGCAAATTACAATCATTTTGAAGGGAACGTCTTCGAGCATTCCACCCCATAGAGACAGCTGTTGCGACTCAAACAAGCCAAAGGTCCTGACCGTTTTACAACCTCAGACCAGATTGCACTATTACACGGCGCTAAAATGAAACACTTCGTAAACAACCGTCCATTGGACGTGGCATTAACTGCATTGGGCTTTCGTAGCCCGTCATGTTGTCTGGCTGCACATTACGCTCAGGCAATTTTGGTCCCAGGTGTGATGGCCTCCTCCCCCTCCCCAACATAGCGTGACCTACCCTCTCGGCGCGGAGGTTAGCATCCTTGGCCTGCTGTTCCAGAAGGTCAGCGCGATCCATCGCGTTGTCCTTCTCCAGCTTCATCGCCTGCATCTTCTTCTTGATGGCCTCCATTTTGACCGACTTTGTGGGATGCTACCTCCGCTGAAAACCCTGCCAAGAGCATAAAGATGTAGTTAGAGGCGTAATGTAAATGCCTTCACACATTTCGATACCACACCTGGATCGATCGTGAGTCATTGGTGAGAGTGGCCAAATGCTTCAAACGTTCATGCAACACTCAAGCTGGTTGCAACATCACCGGTTGTGTCTAGATGGCCCGACATGTGAAATCAGACCGAAAACAGCGTAATTACTGACTGAACCATACCAACGACATTTTCCCATTTTAAGACCTGGGCATAAAGAACATCATGACAGGCCAGTGTGACAGACGAGAGGCTGTCAGAAGAGTTACCGTATGAATGCATCCCGCTAGCTTTCATCCATCATCAGTCATCTGTGCCCCGTGTGCTTTATTTATTTGGCTTCATAGTCCAACGCCGCTATAGATCCCTGCATGTCAACAAAGAGGCGCACCCCTCACCAGAACCTCTCCGTCTGCCTCTCTGCTGTGCCTCCCGCCCACATCCCTGCCCGCCCCATGCCTGCCCCATACCGGCCCCTGTGCCTGCCTCCCCGCCCACCCCACTGCTGCGCCTCGCCGCCTGCCCCCCTGCCAGCGGACAACAGCCCACCCAGCCACGCCCCGTCCCGTGGCAGCCGACCGACCCCGCCCAAACACGGGTCGCGCGTGTCACCCTAATCGGCGCGCAGCCGCCACGGCGGCGTCGCATTATGCGTGCGGCGCGTCGGCCGTCCGCGCGCCGAAATAAAGGCCCGCTCGCTCGTCACTGCACCCACATCCGGCCGGCGATGGCTGCCCACCGGCCGCGTCACGCACGGCCCAGCACGAATGGGGTCAGCGAGGCCGGCGGGGGACCTGGCGACCTGCAGAGGCCCACTTGATGTCATATTTCGCTTCTGGGGTACAAATCATTTGAACGGAAGGTTTGTTTGTATGGTCAGCCATGACGAACTTTGGCGCGGGTGTGCTCGGAGGGAGCACACCACGGGCTGGCCAATATGGCAGGGCAATGCACTTTGCCTGCATCGGTGATCTTTCGAAGTATCGGTACCCAAGGGACACAAGTCCAGACAACTGGGACATCTGGGCCGGCCGCAGTGCCGCCGCTCGCCCCGCAGCGGTGCCCCGCCCCGCTCCCGGTCTCTGCGCACCGGAGCGGCCGGCGGCGCCCCGGCGGCCCCGGTCGGATGACTCGCGCCTCCGCCGGCTGACTCAGAGGGAGTCGGCGTGGCTGCCGGCGGCGGCTTTTCTCGGCAGCAGCCCGGCTGACCGGCCGGTCAGGCAGCGGTCGGCTCGGCAAGGTCGGCCCAGCGAGCGGCGCGCGCGAGCCAAATATGGTCAGAGCGCCGGCCGAAGGTCGCCCGGCCGGCCGGCCGCTGCTGTCGCCCGGTGGAGCTGGCACTGCATCGGCCTGGGGCGGCCGGGAAACGGGCACCCCGCACGACAGAGAGCCGCCTGGCAGTCACGCGCTGCCCCCCGACAGCCCCGCCGGCGCCGGGATGTGGCGTCACGCGCGTCACGCGGCGCCGGCGCCGCTCTGACCGGATGAGCCCTGCAGCTGTGGGGCTTCGGCGGGTCCGATAGGCATAGCACGGGGATGTGGACTAGCTTTCGGCGAAGCGACGAGGGCAGAGCGCAGCCACGGACCTAGTCTCGCGAGGTCCGCCCAGACACCTTGTAAGGAGCAAAACGAAACTCGACTACCAGCTATGTCTAAGGGGCGTGCCCAGGCCCCCCTCCAAACCATTGCATATATTCCCCAGACAAAAATTTGAAACGTTGATAACGTAAGTATTTACATGACTTGCCTTAAGATATTTAACTGCAAGTGACCAAAGAATTGCATTAATGATGCCGAACCGTATCTCGCTTCCCCTGAGCCCATGGATACTGCAACAGCGAAGCAAATCAACAAACAGCTGAAGTCTTCCGTTCAGCTTGGATGACCATATGGGTAACTCGCGCCAGGATTCAACAGGTATAGAAATTATGAGCAGGAAACTGATCCCACCTCATGGAATGTTTGTCAGATATTCTCGTAGCCCGTGAAAACCTACCCTTTTGATATCACATTAACATGGAGTGGCCAGTCGCTTTTCAAAAGATAGCAAAATAACGGCGTCATGTTTTTGGCTCGAGTCACCGGGCGCAGTCCAAACTGCTGTCACTTTAGGGGGGTCAGCCGGCGCGCGCAGGTGTTCCAAGACGGGGTGCCGCGGCCGGCGGCGGCGCCGGGACATGGCCGCTGGCCAGCCGCCGGCGCCCGGACCTATTTCGGGCGGCGAGGGAGCGGCCGTCGGCGGCCCAGATTGCTGCCGCTGTAACGGGAGAGCGGAGACTGCAACGTGCCGGCCGAGACGGGCGCCGGCGTGGCGGCCGACCGCCGACCAGCCGACGGCGGCGGCACGACATGGCCGGCTCGCAGGCGGAGAAGGTCCAGTCCGTGTCGCGGTGATGTAATGGGGGAGGTAACTGATGAGCGTGACGTAACAGCAGGAGCGAGCATCCTGTGGGGTAACCCGAACACCGCCACTGGCACTAAGGCCTGGGGCCTCTTCGCCACCTGCGATCGGGTGCCAGTTTTGACAGAGCTACCGCGGATGCCAATTTTAGCAGAGCTTCTGAAGGTAAATATTCATAAATATTTTAACAAGTTTAAAATTTTTATGTGAGAAAATTTACCTACCAATGTTTTGTATCTATCATTTTACGGTGGATAGCGTTACGCAGGAGGGAAAACATTAACGCAGAACATTCTTCACAACTCCACGAATGCTGCATACCACTACATCTATACAAACATGGCCCTTGTGAGACCTCCTGAAAGACAACAAAAAATGGCAGCACGCCTTGGTAACAGACGAGACATACAAGGCAAAATCTCAGCAGGACGCCATTGGACGGGCTCCAAAACGCGTAACCTGACGCTGGATAAACACCGAATATATCAGAAGATGAAAGGTTGCATCTGGCAGGAGCACACACCTGGCATACCAGTCAGGCGAAGGGCAGATGTGGGCGGTACCCGTGAGACACCGGAAATGACTGGACCAGTCCCGTCTTTCCACTGTTGATTTTGCACAAAGCGTGATTAACTTGGCGTTTCCTGTGACGTCGACGTTGCCCGTGCATTGCAGCCAATAAAATGCATGGTTTCACGTTGGTCTTGGGTTGCTTTTCTTTGGCCCGAGGGCCCCATTTTTGGTTCCCATGTGCTGTGTTGTGGCGATATGATCAAGCGCCTGATAAGACAACCGCAGCACGTTTCCTACGCGGCTTTAGTGAGCAAAGATGCTTCGTTTCTCCTGTTCCAGAATGCAGCCAACCACCATCGAGAGTATGCACCACACACAACTGTGGCTACTGTTAGGCCACCGTTGTCCTTACTTTCCTAACGTGCATTTTGTAGAACATTTAGGGGAAACATTTAAGAGATCAGTTCTTTACTATCGTGCGAAGAAAAAGACGCCGTGATTTGATGTCCTGGCGAGACTCATTGGTGACTGCGCTCACCAGTGCAAATGGCAGTCACGGTAAACATGATGACAGCAATAGTCAGTCATCATGCCTCAGGCACGCCGAGCCCAACACCTGCGCACCCAACTTCTGGCTGGTGAGTCAGACCTGATGCGCTTAGCCTTAAACCTTGATCTGCAACCCTGACTTCCCTCTTCAAACGGGGGCCTTCGGGGACGTCTGGTCTGCCTGAGAAGTGATCCGTTCTCACTCTCAGCCGACGCTGTAGCTTCCTCGTGAAAAACTCAGGCACGTTTAACAGCCTCATTACAGGTGCGGCCAGCCGTGGCCCTGACCCACATCGGGAACGAAATCGTCTGGGGCGCCGCGCGTCACGCCGGACTTCACCGGGCCGGCGACGCAACCTCAGGAGAGAAAGAACGGCTGTTCGGTGGATGGCCCAGCACACGACTAAAACACGACAGCGAGATACGCAGCCACAGAAAATGCATGACACCGTTATTCAATGCCAAACCTAAAGATTCAGAACTGGAACAGGAACACAGTGCGGATACGTGTTCCAATGACAAGTGATAGCTAGCAGGCTGGTGGGGGCATAGGGAGCGAATCCACCAGTATCGGGGTATATACTGACCAAAATTGAAGTGAGAGCCGATAAGAACCAATTAGATAAGACCAAGATTGAGACGGCTACGTAAGAGGTAGGGTATCCACTGCAGATACCGTTTGGCACAACCCATTTCATGATACATTACAGAGCTTTGTAAGCACTTGCAAAAGGGGCCAAACAGGAGGTGTCACTTTCCAAAATGACTAGGTCCAGCAGTAATTTTCTGATTGTGAGGTATTTCCAGGCATGACCATGTGGGAAGAACCTGCCGTTGAAATCTGAAATCATTGGAGGGCCCGACCCCTTCAACAGTATGCGAGCCTCTGACTGAAACGTGATACGTGGTACTAAGATACATGTTGCAGAAGCACCTATGGATCTATCCTGCTCATGGATCTGCTCTGAAGCGGGCCGTTTGTAGTTCGCTTAACGTCTCGCCTCGCAACGGAGCGTTTGATTACATGACTGCTGTTTCAGCACGACCAGCCAGCATGTTTATCTGTAAGGACTTTGGCTGCTCCCTGCTCAGTTCTAAGGCAGCTTCCAACATGCCAGATACAAAATTTTGTAGGCCGGCCTCGCAAGTAAAACATTCAAAACAAGCTGATGTCCCCATTTAAGAAAATACGACGGAGGGTACTGGCTCTGCGTGCAATGAATGAATGGCATTCTTCGTTTGGAAGCCACGCATAAATCCCGTCATACATTTCACCATCTCTCCAACCTTACGCCCAGTTACACGCTGGTTACGCCAGGTGAAAGCATCCTTCCCCGGGGTACGTGTTACAATATTTAAAGATATTTAAGCATAATTTGCAACCTCACTTGGGCGACACGTCGCGCTGTCTTGGACCCGTCTGTCCCACTTGTTACGCTTTGTTTACACCGCATCCAAACCCCTTCTCCCTCCATGCATAGCGTAATTTATGAACGCTCCCGCACCACGTGTGTCAAAGGAACTCGTTAACCTTTCACGTCACTGCACCTGTAGTCTTAAATGCTTCCATGGTATCACTAAAATATACTGAGGGTAGCCATCCCAAACCCTCAATGGTACAAAAAGAAATACCCAAAGGTGAATACAAATGAGGCCTTGAATAAACAGATCTAGGAGTTATGCATGAGTATGTGCAGGTATGCTTCATCGTTCGATTTTGCCCGATTCTCTGAAATAAAAAGCTGGTACAGGATACGCCATTGGGTAAACAGGTCAGCTATAGCAAGATTTCTGATTCTCTCCGGTCTATCACACTGGTACTCCCTGCCAGCACATCCAGATCCAGCGGAGTCATCATTCGACGAGACTTGGATTTACCGTAGCCAGACACTGCACGCGCACTCACTGCACAGCACACCTCCGCGGCGCGGATCTCGCCCGGTCGGCGGGGAGCGCGCCGGCGTATTTTCGTACCTGCAGCTGGACGAGTCCGGGACGCAGCCAAGTGCGAGTTCGACTGGTGGGCGCCCGAGCGCCGCGGCCACCGACAACGGAATGTACCGCACTGCGCCTGCGCGCGCGGATAGCATTACTTGACCATACCCGGTGCCGGTTGCCTCCGGGCATGCGCGTGCCGGGCGGGCGCGGCCACGATGATCGGGTAGTGGGTGTTGCATTGGGAAGGGGATCTTGGGGATGCTTGAAGGGGAAGAGTGCATTCTGGAGGGCTTTTTGTCGGGTTCGACCTGACCTAACTTAACCTGACCTTGAGTTTAAACTTACGAAAAATTTTCGACATTGCGCCTTATCACGCGGAAAATATTTTTTCAATCTGTTTGCGAGTCGTGTTTCAATTAAAATTTAGGTCAACCGCTGTTATTATGCCCTGATAATCCTGGCACATTGGCACACACGCGTATTGTACAGGTGAGAAAGCGCAGCACATCAAAGGGGTTAAGATGCAGTATACTATCAGAGATGGCACTTAATAAAAAGCATTGGGGCAGCGAGACCCACAGGAGGAAGGGAGACGGAGCGAGGGGAAGGGAGGCAGGGGTGATGCCAGACACCTCTCTCCAACGCTTTTGCCAATGAGGTTGACGTGTTTTTTTAGGAGGTGAGGCAGCGCCATGTTCGGTGAGCTAGGGCCCCTGAAAGAGATACAAGGTTATACCTATGTATACCATATATCAGGCTCCTACAGAGCGTTAAGCGAAAAGTAAAAAACACACGCCGGCTTAGTTAGTTGGCTTTAAGACCTAGTTTTGGGGCCCAAAGACTTAGTGGGGTTTAATGATTAGTGGGCTTTAAGGCTTAGTGGGTTTTAAAGCTTAGTGGGTTTTAAGGCTTAGTTAGCGGGCTTAAGGATTAGAGGGTTTTTAGTGGGTTTGGTTAGTGGGTTTTAGCTTAAGTCGGCACATGTCGGTTTAAGTCGGTGACCTATGGCGGTGGTTTGTTTGGACTCTGATGTAGCCTACAGTTGCAACCAACAGGCAAAGCCTTTAGACCAAAATGTGAGAAAAAACAGCAAATTACGCCACCATAACGCAAGATGCCAAATGTCAGAGTGCGTAGTTACCATAGATAACTGACCTATGATGCTATCTTCAGGCAGTATTAACGCAGATGAGGGAGGGCGACACCACGAGGTAGAAGTGTGCAAAAAGTATATTCTGTTAATTACGGCCAACTGTGTGACTGAAATGCAATGACTAATAGCCGTGATCAGAGGTCAACTTAAGGTCAGTTGCCCAATGACACCAGAGTGTCACTTGCGAGGGAGCATCACATTTAGGAGCAAACCCGACGAAAACAAGGAGTAACAACACCGGAGCGCATTATAAGCGCGTTGTCAATGACGCTTCGCCTGAGATGCCCGAACTAAATGCTAGGTCACCTATGGCCTGAAACGACTCAGAGCTATCCAACTAAAAATACTATAAAAATGCGATATTTATATAGCAACCATTTACATGCTTTCAATGGCATCTCAATATACCTGCTTATATATAAATTTATATATATATATATATATATATATATATATATATACATATATCCTTGATTAAAAAACGATCGCAAATTCCGCATTAGCAGGCTTCATGATACACCGTGTTTGATGCCGGACATTAGACTTAGTGGCACCGCTAAGGTGAAAATTATTTAACTGGTTCATGTAATAAGGCCAGTTACCTAATGGATCCAGAGTGCTGCTTGAAAGTAATATCTATCACTTGCTTAGCACTCGCCCTCATTCGCCGTTTACTTCTTATGTTCAATTACTCCCCAAGGCTCTCACCCTGATTCGCCATTTTTCATAACCCGGAAGGATAAGGGGGGTGGGGCATGCGACCCCCTGGCGTTTCCAAAATAATGAAGATAGCGGTTATTGAATCCAAAATTCCAAAAATTCCAAAATAATTTGTGCATTCCGAAATAATTCCAAATAATTCCAAATCATTCCAAAATAATACAGATAGAGGTTATTGAAAACCACCAGTGGATTAGCCTGACCACGATCTCACGATGGCTTTTAGTTTTTACGTGGTTAGTTCCATAATTAACTCCATTATATCAGGTCAAATGTCAAATTTGTCAGGACATTATACTTTTTCAGCTGCACGTCACACAATCGAGGCTAGTCGGTGTGGCGATACTAAGATGTGTCGCCACAGCCGTGTTCATTTTTCAATCCCGAGTACATTGGCGTATATTCTTACCTGTCTGGAGCATAAATTTATTACATATAGTTACGTTACCGTGACAATGTCGGCCCGCCTCTCGCGTTACGCAGCATCTTCGCTTGTTGCCCGCCCGCTCATGCCGTAGGTCGCCGTGCAGTGTTCCTCAAAAACCACTCCTGCTCCGAAAGCAGAAAAGCCAGTAACACGTATTTGTTGGCGCAACACGCGCAATGAATCCCTGATAGGCCACTGAACATTTGGGCCCATTAAACAAAATGCCGGAGGGATATCCGAACAAAAAACTTTAAGGGTGGGTGTCGCATCGAGTTCCCCCAATCAGGGCGAGGGTTAACTAAAAATATTCTTCCAATCTATGTTGCCATATATATATATATATATATATATATATATATATATATATACATATGTATATATATAAACACCACATAGCTGTCAACAGTGTGGATGTCCAGCAACAATAAACAAGCAAACCACGTTTTACAGGGGCTTTCCGCGTAACCCTCATTTTACACTTTTTTGTCCGTTAAAAATTCCTGCCTACCAGGAAACACCTACATGAAATGAGCATGATTATTAACTTAGAATTAATCGATCTTGATTTGTTTTCATTATTAGCCGCCATCCCCAAAATTGGTGCATTTTTTGCCTCCAAAGACCGTAGGATAATACCGTGGGAAAGGCGAGCCTCAATTTCTCCAAGCAAAGAAGCACACTTGACACAGGTTTCGGGAGTACGAGTAGGCTGCTGTGGGCATTCACTTACCCTCTTTCCGACAAAACTCAGGCCATTAGGAAAGTCACGCCAAGGAGTCTACCCAATATGTGGGGAGATTAGGTGTCTGATAAACGCATAGGTTGATAGCTTACCTTGAGGCTTACTAGACCAAATCAAGATACTCACCCGAAACATCAACTTAATTTTGATTAAATGTGCGCCGATCCTCAGGACAACCTGCAGAAAGAAAAGTGTTCTGCAAGACAGTCAGCAAGGGAAAAATTAGCATTCAGTGAGAAGGCAAGATCATACGCCGTCATGGTTTCGTGGTGAGTGCAACGTTGAACGCTCGAGTGAAACGAGTCCAGACAAAGCTAAAACATGGCCAGTTGCGTTGCTGATCATTCACAACTGAATTGGTCATTTTATGTATCGTGTGACATTTTTAAAACTGCAAACATTACCACATCATATCTGCAGTTATGTTTCAACGAGATGCCTTACAACGTTTTGTTTCCGAACACGCACCCGGACGGCCGGTTAAATGTGACGCGCTTGAGAGAGTCAATTTGACTTCCCGAGATCCCAAAGTGTACAAAGTTAGATACACAAAATTCCCGGATTCGGTTGGCGTATATGTAAACTCACTTCTGTCAAAATGGGAGGTCACTAGGCCATGAAATTCGGGCCAAACGAGGTTAAATAAAGTCAAGCTCCAGATTGGTGCACAAGGTTCCCACAGACCTAATGTCTCATGCAACCGCCTTGACCAAGATCCTCGTTCTAAGCAAAAGGTCACTGGTGTGCATCTTAGATCGGTGACCTTGTTTTACCTTTAGGGAGTCATAGTAATCGAAAATATAAGAGATCGCTTTATAAAAAAAGAAAATGAATGGGCGTGAAGGATTGTCGTAGGCGGTATGTTTATGAAAACAACGGGTTAATCTAGATCATTTTAGGTCAGTGATCCTCTACGATCCTTGAAAAAGTCCAAAAAGATGTTCTATCCCTGCTATCAAGAAATAAGAAATGAACATTAGAAGCCACACAAGAGAGCAGGCTCCAAGTGCAAAAGGAGATTGGTTTTGACTTCAGTCTGACCTTCATACGTTACCCAAGGCCAATTTAATTTTTCGTAACCCTAAATCAAGTGGTATAATCGTCTGAGAAACAAACAATGTAAAACATGTACGCCTCCGCCGAACACACCGTTATTGTATCAGATTGAACGATTTCCCGAGCAATGGCCTTCGCTAGCGCCACGGCCTGACCTTGACCCTTTAAAGGCCAGTTACTCTATAAGATACATTAATTTTGCATACTTCAACACCCACCGTTAAAATATATACAGCTATGACAATTTTGACGTTGCTGCGCCCTTCCGTCCGGAAACTATTCTGAAAAACCTTTGGGGCAAATTTTCTCCCTCCCCCACCCGAGCAGATGTTAAAAGAGGTTAGCCTCTGTGTGTGCTGTTGCCTTGTCCAATAAATTCATGGCGGCTCGAAGCACACAGGGTTTTGAAAAGTGTTGAATACTGCCTCTAAGTGTAAACATTGCCGCCTTTTCTATCGTCTGGCTTTAAAACACGCGCTCGGGTGGGAAGTCAAACTGAGCCCCAAGTTTTTCCGAAATGGTTTCCGACCGTCGTAGCGTAGCCGCGCTTAATTTTGCATAGCTATAGACAATTTAATGGTGAATCGTTTGGAATCAACAATCGAGTTGTACCTTGTAATGTCGCTGACCTATGGCATGCCAACATCAGGCCATAGATAAGGCAAAGTCAATTTCTAAAGAATCGCTTTAGATGATGCAACAACGGATTGTTGAGCGAGACCACACATCTCTGAGATACTCTCTGAGATAATTGAATGAAAATATTCACCTGGCCTAAGGTCAGGTATAAAGGTCGGGCCAAGGTCAAAACCAACCTGTTTTATTACTTCAGGGCTTGCTGTATGAGGTAGCTTCTGGTGCTCATTTCGAATTTCTTGATAACAGAAACCGCATCGTACATGGTTTTTTCGAAAGTCCATGGAATATTTTTGTGCACTGCTATTTGGACCTTTGAAAGGTCAGAATAGGTCACTGACCTGAAATGACCGAATTCAACATTTCTCTAGGAACATAGTTCCTGGCGT